AATCTTCAATTTAAGAGAGTCCACCTGGCCGGGCGTGGTGGCTCATGGCCGGGTGCGGTGGCTCAAACCTGTAATCCCAGCACTTTGGGAGGCCGAGACGGGCAGATCACAAGGTCAGGAGATCGAGACCATCCTGGCTAACATGGTGAAACCCCGTCTCTACTAAAAAATACAAAAAAAACTAGCCGGGCGTGGTGGCGGGCACCTGTAGTCCCAGCTACTCGGGAGGCTGAGGCAGGAGAATGGCGTAAACCTGGGAGGCGGAGCTTGCAGTGAGCCGAGATCCAACCACTGCACTCCAGCCTGGGTGACAGAGCTAGACTCCGTCTCAAAGAAAAAAAAAAAAAAGAGAGAGCCCACCGAAAATGTTTTAAATGAGTCTAGAAATAGATAATGAAGATTTCACAGACTGTCTGGCTGAATTTCATACACCACATCACTCTGATGGAAAGAGCATCTTCCTACTGGGTAATACACATCAACGAGAATATAGAAACCAGTCTCCTGTGGGCCTTTAACAGGTTATACCTTCCACTACTCACTGCTCTGATCACTAAAAGGTTACTTTCTACCACCAATACTTGTAAGGCTATCACTCTTTCATCTCTCCTAACCCTAACATTTCTGAGGAGTCTCTATGGAAACCACTATCATAAAAGCAGGCTAATCTATGGGAAGTCCAACCGGAGGACCTATGGTAAATATTAAACCCCAGAAGGACTGTGTCACTGCAGGAGAATTACAAGCATAATGGAAACTTGGAAGTAATGCTGTCTGGACGTCCATTTTCCATCTCTTTTCATCCACCCGTAGGATCTACAATGCCCCAGTGATTTTCACAGACTTTACTCCCTTAAGCAGCAGTCCTTTCTTTCAGCAAAAATTTGTGGAAGTTCAATACATAAAACATAAAAGGCAGAGCTGCTGGTTGATGGGACAATAAGGAGGTCCTCCTTATTGTCAATAAGGACAATTATTGACAATAAGGAGGCTTTGTCCCCCTCCCTCACCCCTTACCTACCCACATGACACTATGGAATCCCAAGGGAAATAAGGAACCATGTCTGAAAAGTAACGGTTTGGTGAGGATGATAGTGATTTAATTAATATAGTCTTTAAGAGAACAATAAGTAATAATAAGTCATAGTCCTAGCTTCATAGGAGCCTTTTCTGAGTAGAGTGCTTCTGTTACATGTTTACCCATTTCAGTTGTAATCAACTTCTCAGTTTGGTAACTTTAATGCCCAGGAGCACAGAACTCTTTGGTTTCAGGAAAAGTCACATTAATACTACATTATGCATCTCTCTCTAACCTCATTCATGACACCTGGGGTTTCCTCAGGTAAGTGTAGCTGCTGACCCAGGGTTTGGCCCATGTGAAATATTTAGGAGTAGAAAAAAGGTTTAGTGAAGTAGTAAAGTCAACTAGGAGAGCCAAATCACCTGCAAATCAGGATTTGAGAAGTTTCATCTAAGTATGAAAACACTGAAGTTACTTGTCACAGATGAGCCACCTCAGAGAAAGAAAAATAGATATTCAAAGTTTCCCAGTCAAAAGAGAATTTTTCCATGCTACAGTCACGCACAGCATTTGTATTGGGAAACTTCAAGTCAGGTTCATTTCATGATGTGACAGGGGAAGTGATCGAAACTAGATTTTCTCATCATATCTGAAAGTATCATTAGGATATCATTATGAAAACTAGTGGCAATGATGTTCTTGTTTTTTAGAGAGGTTTTAAGCTAAATTGAATGAGGATTAGGTTTACTAATAGAATGGATTCACTGATGCTATTACCCAAAGGGAATACTTATAGCCACTAAAAGTATGTTGGAAAAGAACATTTAAGCACATAGGAAAAATGTTGCAATTATATTAAGTAAAAATGGATATAGAACACTAAGATTTTAAGTTTGCATTTTTAAAAAGACATACATATTCATAGGAATAAAAGCTGGAAGCATCTTTACCAAAATATTATCAATGGCTGTATCTGAGTGCTAATCTTTATTTTGTTGTTTAAACTTTTCAATATTTAACAAATTTTCTTTTTTTTCCTTTTTGTACATACTTAAACTAATGTTTTTTATATTTTTCTTCTTTTCTACTTTTATCTTAGGTTCAGGAGATACATGTGCAGGTTTGTTACATGGGTAGGTTGTGTGTTACTGAGGTTTGGTGTACAAAGGATCCCATCACCAAGGTGGTAAGCACAGTGCCCAACAGTTAGTCTTCCAATCCATGCCTCCCCGACCCTCTCTCTCAAGCATTCCCTACTATCGTTCCGGTCTTTATGTATTCAATGTTTAGCTCCCACATATAAGTGAGAACATGTGCTTTTTGGTTTTCTGTTCCTGCATTAGTTCACTTTAGAATAATGGTCTCCAGGTGCTTCCATGTTACTGCAAAGGACATGATTTCATTCTTTTTTATGGCTGTGAATATTCATCAAATTTTCTATGTAGAATCAGGAAAAGATACTTAAAAGCAGAAAGAAATTTTATTTACTGAAAAGAAATGGTGTACCTAAAATTCTGAGATTCATATATAAATGCCAGAGCTGTCCTTAACTGTGTGATTGTGTGGCAAAATTCCAGTCCCAACTTGCTTTGGAAGAAACAGCTGCTCATGCAACTGCTAAGGTGAGTCGACCCTAATTGCTGCTAACAGCGTGGTAAGCACTGGGTGAGAAATAGCATGCAGCCCAAGCAGACACATCCAGTTCTCAAGAGTGGCTCAGTCCATCATTCACCAGAATTGCCACTGTCCTGACAAAACCTCGTTGACGAACAACACCAACCCCATCTAGAAGCTTTTGCTTCTGTGAGGATGAGGCTTATTTAGCTGTTTAGGACTGCCTTTGTATGAATGCTAAACATAAGAAAATTCTTAGACATGTTTATGATCTAAATGTCACCACTGTGTATAATCAGCAAGGTAATGTAATTGTTAGAAACATTGCTGGTGAAAAACAGATCTAGGTTCAATTCTGGCCCTGCTATTTTCTAATCACATGAGCTTGGGCAAGTTTCATAATCTTATAAACCTCAGTGTATTCATCTTTCAGTGAGGTTGACCACATCTATCTCTCAGGATTTTTAGGATCATTTAAAATATTTTTCAGTATGTACATCCACTAATTTAATGAGAACATTCTAGAAGCCTAAATATATAGAAATTTCAAATTATTTAGCCCCTTATTGAAAAAAATCAGATACCATATATTCTTAAACTTAAAACTTATATCCTTCTATATAAGGCAACTTCCCAGCTGTACACATTGAAAGTGGTCACTGAGCCAAAACTAAGTACTTGAATAGATGTTCTATATTTTAAAGAATTCAGGTTCTAAAACAACTTTGTGAACTACGGGAGAATATTTCTGGCAAAATCTTATCATTCTTCTGTGTCATCTTCAATAACTCTGTACTAGTAGGACTATATTAGAAATATAAAAGTCCACTCCTGTCTCCCATGCTAGACTCATAATCAACTCAGAAAACATAGAATCAGTAAAGACATCAGAGCCTATGTGAGAAAGAGGGCATATTTTAATAACGTCTCATACCAATAATATATTCTCAGTGATATTATAAAAATAATAAAAGTTGGAAATGTTTAATTTTAATGATTCAAATTAAGTGTTATAATTATAAACCAAATAAAATGCCATGAAATGGGGGGAAAGTAGCAAAAGCTGAAAAAAGAAGATTAAAATTCCACAAGAATAAGAATTTTTTTTTTTTTAGATGGAGTTTCACTCTTGTTGCCCAGGCTGGAGTACAGTGGCAAGATCTCAGCTCACTGCAACCTCCGCCTCCCATGTTCAAGTGATTCTCCTGCCTCAGCCTCCTGAGTAGCTGGGACTACAGGCACCCACCACCATGCCCAGCTAATTTTTGTATTTTTAGTAGAGAGGTGGTTTCACCATGTTGGCCAGACTGGTCTCAAACTCTTGACCTCAGGTGATCAGCCCGCCTTGGCCTCCCAAAGTGCTGGGATTACAGGTGTGAGCCACCATGCCCAGCTGAATAAGAATATTTTTAAAACTCTGCTTCAAAAAGGGAATACAGTAGGGCATACTATTTCTATGGTACCATTAAGACAGACTCAGTGCTGAATTCCATTCTTGCCACTTACTCTCTGGGAATAGCAGGCCAGTTGTTTAACCACTTGGAACCTTATTTCCTCATCTGCAAAATGGGACTTGCTTAATGCTTTCATGATGGTGTGACAGACACGTAAAATACTCAGCACAAGGTACATTTGTAGTGTTCTTCACTGGTAGAAAAAAAAAAAAAGACTACAAAAATCCTAAAGGATCAAGGTGACATATGACAATAACATAGGCTGTGCCTTACCAAGAGAGCCAGTGCATCCAAAGCCAGACATCCACCAAAGGTCACAGGATATGAAATAATGGATATGAAATAATGGGTGTACCTGATCTTGATGATACATTGTTGAGGAGATAAAAATTAAACGCTAAAAACCAAGAAAATGGGGTAAATATTTAACGGGGGTCAAGAAACAAGCAGGTCAAAGTAAATGACTAAGAGGGAACCAATCAATCTGATACAACCATATCCAATCAGAAATGACCTTGATGATGCTCAGGGAAAAGTAAAGCCAGTAACAGCTGGTTTATGAGACACATTTGCTGAGCTTTGACATTGACTGCTCTACTACCAGGGAAGAAGGCAATGAGGCCTTTAATTAGAAATTTGCTATCACTTTCATGTGACAAGAGTCTAATGTCCTTGAGGCATTGGGAAGGACACTCAAGGGTCTGAATCAGAGTTCATCAAAGAGTGACGAGTGATATCCCACCACACAGACAAGGTTACAGAAAGACACCAGGTATTTCAGGCCTGAGAGTTCTGTCCTATGAACAGTGGGATTCAAGAGAAGAGCTCATTCCCAGAGAATGACTCCATTTGACTGAGTAGAGCAGAGTGGGCCACATCAGCTTCAATCAGAGTTCTCTGTTAATACATACCTCCAACGGCTGCTGTTTTGCATTTATCGACAGGTTCCTCTAAAAGTAGTCTCAGGTATACTTGCTGAGGCAGGGTCTCGTCTTCTATTTCATGTTTCCAAACCATACACTTTTGGGCATCCCAAAGAACTCAGTGGTGTGCCTGGAACAAAGAAGCAGTTTCAGCTTAACAACTTCAAAACAGAATCACAAAATTCTAAAGCTGAGAGAGACTGTGTAAATTCAGTGCAGTTCACTATAAATAAAAGGATTAAAGTACTTATAAACTTGGAAACAAAGAATTCATAATGAACCTTCCCTACCTCCTCCCATTTTTTCTTTCTTTTCTAGCTTTTTAATTGTTGTATTTTTTACAGTAGTATAATATATACATATAACATAAAGCTTACTCCATCTTTTCTAATTAAAAGTTTTTAGCCCTATGACTATAAAAGGTGTTTCTCCTTTTATATAATTATCTACTATTTTTAGTTGCCAACGAATAATTGATTATCATAAATTAAGTATAAGTTTGAAGTTTCAGCTTCAAACTGAAAACAAGGGTAACTACTGAGTTATCGTCTTTACAAGTTGACTTATAAAAATGTTATGATCTCTCTGGGGCCAAAACATTACCCTGATAAGTAACAGCTTTTATAGTTATATATGTGTACATGGTACACATTTCCTGGCAGCATAATCAGGAAGCTAGAGACAATGTCTTGTATTAAAGAACAAAGAGGGCTATTCATTTAGTGCCTCATTCGTAGTAATTTGTACTTATGTGTGGAAGAATATGGAATCTAATGGTAGCTAGAAAGGCAGTATATTTTGTTCGATCGTATTTAATTTAATCAGTAACATTTTCTTTTTTTTTTTTTTTCCCGTGATAATCTGTAAGAATTAGGCTCTCAACCCTTTTCAGGATCATATACGCCCTACAGTATTGAGTATCTATGAAAACTAAGCCTGTTCCATCCCTCTCCACTTAAATTTCAGGACAATCGTTAACTCCTTAAAGCTATCCCTGGACCCCAGGATAAAAATCACAGGTGCTCTCCAGCTGTCAAGCTGGGGAGCTGATACCTTGAGCCAACTAACAGACTTAATTCTATAAACCATTCTTATAGACAAAAACAATCCACTACTCTCAACAGTCCTAAGGACTTAGTTAGGACCAGGCATCCCTCCGCACCCTCCCATCTTTTAATCATTATTTATTCTATCGGTAAGAAATGGTGCTACATCTGTAAATAATCAAACATAGGCACAAAGAAAGCAGTTATCAACTAAAACAGCAATAAAATAAAACAAACAAACAAAAACTAGGACTCTTTTGCCATTACATTAGCTTAAAAGTATTCAATTAAAGTTTCAGGCCAGGCGTGGTGGCTCATGCCTATAATTCCAGCACTAACCTAGGCAACAAAACGCTTAGAAAATGATGGAGCTTCTGGTTCCTCAGAAGGGGAGCGGGGAAGACTGAAAAGATGGGGGTGGTGAAGTGTGTATAAAAAAAAAAAGACCCTTACCCCGCACCATAAATTAAAGTTAACTCAAGATGGAGTAAACACCTAAAATTAAGACCTGAAACTATAAAATTCCTAGCAAAAAAAAAAAAAAAAAGATAGAGGAAACGCTTCATGACATTGGAGTTGGCAATGATTTTTTGGATATGACATCAAAAACACAGGTTAAAAAAAACCACACAAAATAAGCAAATGGGACTACATCAAACTTAAAAACTAAAGGAAGCAATCAACCAAGTGAAAGGACAACCCACAGAAAATATTTGTAAACCATATATCTGACAAAGTGTTAATATCCAGAATATATAAAGAATGCCCACAATTCAACAACAAAAAGCTAAATAATAATTAAAAATTGGCAAAGGATTTGAATGGACATTTCTCCAAAGAAGATATACAAATGGTCAATAAGCACATGAAAAGATGCTTAACATTCCTAATCATCAGGAAAATGCAAATCAAAACCACAATGAGATATCATCTCACACCCATTAGAATGACCACTATCAAAAACAAAAATAGAAAGTAGCAAGTGTTGACAAAGATGTGGAGAAGTTGACTGGAATGTCTGTACAGTGTTGGCAGAAATGTCAAATGGCACATTTCTGCCAGTTATGGCAGTTCCTCAAAACATATGATCCAGTAAGCTCACTTTTGGTATGCATCTGAAAGAATTGAAAGCAGGGTCTTGAAGAGATATCTGCACACCCCTGTTTACTTAAGCACTACTCACAATAGTTAAGAGGTGGATGCAACCTACACATCCAATGGCAGATGAATAAAGAAAACATGGTATATACATACAATGAAATATTATTCAACCTTAAAAAGAAGGAAATCCTCTTATGTGCTCCAACATGGATGAACCCTGAGGACATTATGCAAAGTAAAACAAGCCAGTCACAAAAAGACAAATATTACATGATTCTACTTATAGGAGATATCTAAAGTAGCCAAATTTACAGAAACAGAAGGTGGTTCGTAGTTGCCAGAGGCTGGGCAGTCGGGCTAAAGGGGTGTTGCAGTTCAGTGGGTATAGAGTTTCAGTTTTGCAACATAAAAAGTTCTAGAGAGCTTTTGTACAACAATGTGTACATAGTTAACACTACTGTACACTTAAAAATGAATATATTTTATGTTATGTGTTTTTTACCACAATAAAAACAAATGAGAGATTATCCTGGATTATCTGAATGGGCCTAATATAATCACCAGGGTCCTTAAAAGTGGAAGTGGTAGACAGAAATGGAAGTCAGAGTAATGCAATATGAGGCCATTTGACCATTGTTGACTTTAAAGATGGAAAGGGGCCAGGAGCCAAGAAATGCAGCCAGCAGCTAGAAGCTAAAAAATAAAAACAAGGAAAGGGACTCTTCCCTAGAGCCTGTGGAAAAGAGTGCAGCCTGTGGACACCTGTTTTGTTTTGCTACAGGGTCTCACTCTGTCACCCAGGCTGGAGTGCAGTGGCATGATCCCTGCTCACTGCAACCTCTGCCTCCAGGGTTCAAGCGATTCTCATGCCTCAGCCTCCTGAGTAGCTGAGACTACAGGCATTCACCACTACACCCGACTAATTTTTGTATTTTTTGGTAGAGACAGGGTTTCACCATGTTGGCCAGGCTGGTCTTGAACTCCTGACCTCAAGTGATCCACCAGATTGGCCTCCCAAAGTGCTGGGTTTACAGGCATGAGCCACTGCGCCTGGCCCGTTGATTTTAGCCCAGTGAGACCTGCCATCAGACTTCTGACGCACAGAACTGTAAGATGATAAATTTGTGTGGAGCAAAGAAGGGGAGGAGGGAGGGAAGAAGGGAGAGAGGGAGGGACTTAGAACCCCAGATCCTCTCCCTCACCTGGTAGAGCCAAACAAACCATTCCTACATCCTTACATCCCTGTAAGAAGGGGCAGTTTACCCTCTGGAGAAAATGATACAGCAGGACTTCAAACCTAGACTCCAGATAAGGCTGAAACAAAAGCACTGGATCTAAGCATTCTCAGGCTTGGATGGTGAGACCTCTGGCTCCCTTCCTCCTCACTCCTCTGTGGTGCCCCAAATCCTCACAGGTAGGCTTACACCCTACAAAAAAAGTAAACAAAGAATTCCTTTTTGGATAAACTGAAGGGTCCAAGGAAAAAAGTCTACAGATTTTGATACATGATAATTACCCACTGAAATGGCTAGTAAAGCCTCTGCTCAAAGACCTTAGAGTGAAGCCAATCAGGTAACAAATTTGCAGTCCATTTTTTATTATCTTACTCTTAAGTAAGAACAGACAACTAAATTCCCAGCACTCATTTGGGAAGAGCCTTTAACATTAAAATCAGTGATCAAAATAAGAAGATAAAGGGAACACACAGGAAAATGTGCAAAGAACGGGAAAAAACAGCAAAATAGTCCAATTCATATTCTCAAAAAAATGAGAAAATATTGCATCTATGAAACAAAAACAGGATTCTAATTTTTAAAACAAAATATTCATAGACCCTAAAAAATTAAATTCAAAATTACAAACCTGATAGCAGAAATTAAACATTCAACAGGTACTAAGGAAACCTCTCAGAAAGTAGAAGAAAAACACAGAAGGATGGAAAATAGTTAAGAGTAAGACTTAAGAAAATTAGAGGATCAAACTAGTAGGTGCAAATACCCAACTAACAGACTAAGAGAAAAGAGAGAATGGGGGGGAATTATCAAAGAAATAGTACAAGAAAATTTACAAATTGACAGACATCAGTTTCTAAGCTGAGAGAACCATGAACATCAAAAACAACGAGAAGTGTCCCAATATTGCAGAATTCTGGAGATAAAGAAAAGTAATGAAACATTTTCCAGAGACAAAAAAACAGTTCACAACCAACCAACTGGGAGGCAGAATGGCTTGAGACATCTCAACTTACACCACAGAGCTCAGCCACAAAAAAATATAGTCATAATAAAGTAGACATTAATACTTATGTAAATATAGACTGCATCAAGAAAATAAAGAGAAAGGAAAAGTAAGTATGTAGTAAGGGTAAAGGGTGGTCAATATGTAGGTATGTAGTAAGGGTAAAGGGTGCAGTAACAATGACTGCATCAAGAAAATAAAGAGACAGGAAAAGTAGGTATGTAGTAAGGGTAAATGATGGTCTATGAGAGAGAACTCCTCAGCAGGAAATCAATGTATAAGTCTAAGATTTTAAAAGGAATCAATAAATGGCACTTAGAGCATACGATGTGTTGTTTAGAAATAGGTAGATGAATACTGGAAAATACAACTAAAAGGATTGAAAAGGGCTATCTTTAGGCAAAGAGGCAATAAGAGTACAAAAAGAACAAAGAATGGCTATTAGAGTACTATTTGAATTCTTAAACACTATACATGCAATTACCTCTAAATAAATAAAATAAATGAAAGGAAAGAAGGAAGGAAGGAAAGGAGGGAAAGAGGGAGAAAGACTTAAGAAAACAATTCTACAAATTGTTACACAGTAGAGATCTTCAATGTTCATCTACACAGAAAGAATGGAAACAGCAACTGTCCTAAGATTATGCAAATGATTACTTGTGGCTTGGGATAAAATTTCCAAATATAGTGCCATACATAGATTCCAAACGTGCTGTACTGCAAACACCTAAAATGATAACAGGCTGTAGAAAATAATATTGAATGCTTCAAAAATATGACTCAAATAATGAAGACACTGATGTCAGGTATGTATGTAAAGAGTTGGAAGAAAATTATTCTGGGGTAGGAAAAAAGCATTAGTTATAAATACTCCATTTTGCATAAATACATACTTGCACAAAATATGTACATAACTAAATTAATTAAATGGTAATATGTATTTGACTATTTCATCTATATCCCCAAAATATTCCTTATATATTCCAATTGCCCACAAAAATTGTTTGTTTAGATCCTTTCATTGGGAGAACACAGAAAATATAAATTAGCATAAAAGGTAAATAATTTAAAAATCCATTTACCTCAATCATGCTGTTAATTTTCTTCATCAGTCTTCCTTCCAATCTAGAAGAAAGTAATATGTAAATTAAAGTGCATTCTTCATGCAATGAGCTGCTTATAAGAAAAAAAGCCTAAAATCCAAGTTAACTATTATTCACTTCTTGTTATGTATCCGTAGGAAAAAGGAAAAGCATTATTTCACCAATTCCCAACTAATTTCTGGCTGTCATGGTATTCAGAGTAAGCTTCTATTAGACAATGCCAAGCAGAAGTAAGCATGCAAATCCAATGGCAATAAAAAAAATCGCACACCAAATGCATCTGATGGTATAACAGGAGTTTTAAAACCATGTACCTTTATAAATTATCTCCTCTCCATTTAGGTAAATAACTGCTAACTGACTATATAAAAAAGATAAAGAAGCAAGAAAGTGTATTTTTCAAACTGTAATAATTACAACCCTGGGGTAAATTTTCATTTTTACCAAAATGCAATCAATAGCAAGTTAAGTGGAACAACCACAGACCACATACATAAGGGTATGATCAAACAGCTTATAAATAACTCTAACCCACATCACCCTAAAGGCTTAAAAATCCTTCCGCGTTTTATTTCATGAAAGACTTTTTCAGCTAAAAATGAAATATGACCCTGTGTAAGTAAAATATACAAGTGAATTAGGCTACATGCAGAAAGGGGAAAAAGTAATTTTTTAAAAAATTAGCAAGCCCAGAAATCTTGTGTGGCTTAATAAATTTTCTTAAAGTGAACACCACTCTCCCAAAAAGTCAACACTGCCCTGCCTTCAAATAGCACACATTAGTTTTGCCTGTTGGGCTAGGTATAATTATTTAGGAATCTATCTGGGAGTCTAAGAATCCCTGTATCTGGTCAAAAATAAAATGCTTTAAGGAAAGGGGAGCAAGTAGTCGTTGACTACAAAGTGGTATTATTTCCGAAAGATGTTAACGTGTCTGAGGAAAAAGTTTTGGCTGATTGGTTGATTGTATGAGGTCAACCTGCAAGTTCTCCAGAGACCAAAGGACAGAGAAGCAGTTTATGATAGAAACAGAAGGGGAAGGGCCTTCCTGTTGTCCAGGAGGAATGGACTTCTGGGAATAAGAGGGGAGAAGGCAGGAGCAGAGGGGAGAGAAGGGAGTGGGGAGGGAGGGTGGCCTCCTTTCTATAGGTACAGAAATACCTATAAAGATAGTAACCAAGCTCGTCCGTGCTAGAAGCTAGATGAAATTACTAATGCATGATCTCACCTAATCTTCCAATTCCTAGGAAGCCTGTTTTGCTATCTCCAGTTGACAGATACCAATACTGAGTCTCAAATCATCAATGGTGTCTGATGTAAACAGTTTGTGGGTGAAATAATGCTATTCCTCTTTACAGCTTGAATGCAGGGCTTGATTCGCCATCAACAAAAAGAGAGAGATTCACGAAAATGAAGCCTTATAATTAAATACAGAATATGCTGTTTTGTCCCTACCCACAAATCATTTAAAGGAAAAGAATCAACTTATTCAGGACCCAAGAAGTCTTCTGAATTACCAGAAAGTGGAATAGTTTTGTTATTTGTAAAGTAGGCCCATGTTATCTTTTTGTACATCAAAGAAGTTTCAAAAGAAACTGAATTTCATAAGAGATAATTTTCTGACATGTTAACTGGTTTATGGCACTGTGTGCTTTCCCACTGTAATGGGAGAAATCAGAAGAACACAGTGTCCCTCAGAGATAGCCACAGATGCAAAGAGGCAAATTACCACCAGATAATTATTGAAGAACCCATGATAGTGTCACCTTCAAATGGCATGCCACACCTGCATGAATATTTAATTTCTATCACAAGTACTTTCAAAAAGCAGGGGCCAAAATAGGAACATAGTTGAAAAAGGGAACTTTCCATTCTGCCATTTGACAGGAAGAAAATAAAATATCTACCTTTTAAGGCAATATGTAATATATCAAAGACGTGTAGCTAAAAAGATCTTCCTACATCCTCACTGGTGAACACAAAGTAATATTTCAATGACAATAAATGATTGTGAGACATCATGAGATGCCTTTATACTTAACCCCACAAGAACCCTATGTGTGTGTGTTGGGTGAGGGGTGGAGGGTGAAGGGTTTAGAATCCCCTACTTAACCAGATGAAGACATTAGGCTCATAACAGAGGTTATGTTGTAACTTGTCCAAAGTTGCAAATTTGTCCAACGTCAAACTTTGAGGAAATGGGAAAGGGTTCCAAATTACATGTCGGATACCTTCAGGCTATTGTGTTGACCATAACAACTCTGCCTTGGTGATGAATATACTTGAATCTGTTTTTCAGTAAAAATTGATCCATTCACTATTTTCCAGTTTCAAATTGCTTTTGCTATCTTCCCGAGTAAAGGATCTTGACACTCCTTCCTCCTGTGAGATGGAGTAAGTATTCTGTCAGTGAGTGGCTTGAGAAGGTCTAGAGGGACTCTTTTTAGGATAGCTGCTAAAGCCTCTGAGAGCACCCTGGTAATCTTCCTTTTATAGGATCTAGCATATGGAATGCATAGTGAAAGCTGCAGGCTTGATTTTTCAGGGGACACATGCCATGAAGATACAATGCAAAAAGTTCTTTCTGGGACTCTATAAGTAAGCAAGTTAACAATGCATACCATGCACAGTAAATCATCTAAGGAAAAAATTACCCAAATTATACTTAAAAGTCTGTGGCTCTAAACTTTCGATTGAGGATTGAGCAAAGTATGGCATGAGTCTTTGCAGACATTAACCTAATGACATGCAGAATCCTGGTGGTGGGGGGAGCGTGGTACAGAATAAGGTACTCTTCCCCTATTCAATAATTCTGGTATAGCAACACTCAAACTCCTATGTGTTTACTACTTGTGACTTCCTCTCAAGGAAAACACACTGGAGTAGGAGAAAGTTCAAAGGGTAAAAAGGAATGGGCATAAGAACCAAGGTTGTGGAAAGAAAAGATTAAAGTTCACAAAATTCTGCAAGGCATTGGCAAGCGCCCACTTTATAAGTTTACATTTGTAGGGCCAACCCTTTCAAAACTTATTACTTCCTCTTAGATTGGGGGTGCAGGGGGGCAGTGGTTTCATTCTGGGGCCAATCTGATTGATCAATAGGCAGCGGCTTCCTAGAAGCCACACCAGAAGACAGTGCCCAAATCAACTGCCATTGTCCGCTATGGACACACGATGTGGAAATTGCAGCAGGCACGCTTCGTTTTTGGCAGCCCTGTCCCACACCCTATTATTAGAGTTCAGTTGTCGATTCTCAGGGGAAAGACGTTATGTAATAAGAAATAAATAATACAGAGAGACCAGGAAGAGCACTCCATTAAAACTGCATTTTATTAGAATAGTAAAAACACTGAAAACTTTCTCATTCTTACTCATAAACAGCATGTTTTGCAAATTAGAGCCTGGCTTAAGAGAATACAAAATCCAAAGTAGAAAGTTTGTGTTTTCTTCCTTTATACAAAGTTAGTGTTTTCTTCCTTTAATGTCTAACTCTCAATAAACAGAGTTTAACTGACCCTTTTCTCCCTTTCTTCTGCTTGGAGGAGAACCTTTACTATCTTCAAACAGGATCCTGCTGCTGTCAAAAAGCCCCAGGCATGGTCTCTAGCTTTGGTGACTGAAGGTTGCAAGTCTCTTGCTGCAGTCACCCTTAAAGCTTCTTCCTGCTGGCAGCTGGTATCACTGGCATCAGCTCTCTTCACAAGGGAGGACTTCCCACTACACTTAACGAAAGACTTAATCTTCCCTTCACTACACCGCTTTCTTACCTTTTCTAGATTAAAAGAGTAATGCAAAGGGTAAAGTCCTTCCTCAAACTTTGCCTCAATTTACAGCCAAACATGATTGTTTTGGGTAAGTTACAGAGCTCCTCTCTTGAAACTGCTGGCTGAGATGTAAAAGAAAACAAAAAATAAAAAAGACCATCCATTAACTACCCTGGGAGTTCAGCAACTTCCAAACTGGCCTCTCAAACCGGTTTCCCTTTTCCTGTAAAACGCATTTGAATAGAGTTTAGAATAACAGGTTCACGTAGGAGGAAAGAACAGACTTACGGATTGCAATCTACTGAAAATGTAGGAGCTGAATGAGGGATTTAATGAGGGATAAAAATTCCAAAGAAATATACTACACGCCCTTAAGGAAGTAGTTACTAAAAAAGATGATAAAGAGTGAAAGCAACTATGCTCCAGGCAATGGTGAGATAAGTTCATGGGAACAAACCATAACTGGTAAAAGTCTGGAAACTAAACCAGTTTTAAGCACGACCTCAAAGCAAACAACACCTCCGTTCACCTTCCCAGAAAGAGTGACCAAGTGCCTTCGCTTAATGCTGCAGAAAAGAAGAGGTATTTTATCCCTTCATTCAGCAAATATTTATTGAGCAAGAAGGTGGGATTATATAGAGATGAAAGAGCAGCTTCCCTGAAGGAGCTTAGTTTAGCAAGGAGAAAAAAAACACGTAAATCAGTATTTACATTTCTATGTGGTACCAGGGAGTCATAACACTGAGCTAAAGCACAACATCAACCAACACAACCACTTCCCTGGTAGGGGCCAGACACAATTCTGATATTTTTAGGTAACTCATTTGAATCTTTGAAACAAGCCTATGAGACTGGCAAACACTTTTCCTGGTTTACTGGTGCAATTAGCGTGTATGAGATATAAAAAAGGATCTTTCAAACACAAAGTTTACTCAAATTAAATCTTCAAATTATGCCTCCCTCCCCAAATACAAATCTCAATCCCTATTTTAGCTTTTGCAGGTTGCCCAGCAGTATCTGAGGTTCCCAGAACTCTCACTGAGAAATTCACAAATTGAAGAAATTATTTCCTACATCACAGGACTTGTTATCAAGGGCCACGTCAGTAATGCCCTGCCTACAGTAGAGCATTACTAAAAACAAACAGAATGAGAGCAGTTTTGTTTGTTTTTAAATCCTTACCCACAGATGTACCAAAATAATCTTCTATGTTATTTAATCCTAGCTTCGTCAAGGGCAAGA